GTTAGAACTGAATTCACATTTCAACCCTGCCACTTATTTGGGTGGCAAGTTTTCTGAGCAAGCACCTAAAGGTTTTGTGCTCTCTATTCTGGGAGTGAAAGTAGCTTGTCCTCAGGGTCTTTGGGAAGCTTTGTTAAGAAGACAACAGTGTCTAGGCACAGGGCCTGGCATACTACTATCATTTGTGTGTGGAGGTCCTCTCTCCCCAGTCCCTTCTTCTTTTGCCCCCTCAGCCCAGCAGCTGACCATCTCTCCCTCCCCTGTCTGCTTTGATGAACAGTGTTTTTCTATTCTTTGCTGGCCAGGCATAGGGAAGCCAAGTCCCAAGACCTTTAACCCTGAAAGTAAGTATCATATTGTGAAAGTTTAGCAAACTAATCTCCCTTCTTTCCACCACCATCTCAGAATCAAAAGAGAACTGTGCTCTTTTCAAAGAATTGGTATAGGGATTCATTGCCAGGCAGTTACAATGAATCAGCCAGCTCTACTGTACCATATTCTAGAGAGATTTTGTTGAAAGTGTTTAGCAATTCTGTTCCCAGCCTCCTGTGAAGAAGCCAGGCTCTGCATCCTGATCAAGGGATGGGTGCCATCTCACATGCTGCAGGACTGCTTCCAGCCCCTAATTCTCAGTGGGTCCACAGGCGTTGGAGAAGCATCCCGCATACACATGGCTGTGGTTTTATCATCTTGCACTCATCATTGTATTCAGGAAGACAGATTTTTATTATGCAGCAAAATTGCTGCTCTAGGGTAAACTTTGACACAAAGCAATTGTGTTCTTGATTGAATCAGCCAAAATAAAAAGTAAAGAACAGAAAATAGAGCTGAGATAGGTTTCAGGTCTTTGTTTTAAAAACAGCTACTGTCAGAGAAGCATTTGGATATGCAATTATAATAAATGGCCATCTCCAAAGAACAAACTTGTCTTTCTGAGGGAAGAGCACAATTCACAGTACTAGGAAAGTTTCTAATGCTCATTTCCTTGTTGACTAGATATAAATACAGTCATTTGTCTCCATATATTTTAACCAGGTACATTTAACAAAATACATTCTCAATTATGCTGATAGGAATCATATCAGTTTTACATGTTGAAGTTGAATGTTGCTTTTGGACATATCAGCATCACAAAAATTTAATACCTAAAGTTAGGCAGAACCTAAGGTGAGAAAGTGCAAAAACCCAAGGAGACTGGGAAGGTAAGTGGATGCAGATCACCCAGAGCACTGCATCTCATTAGCATCCCAGAGTTAAAGAGCCCTGGAAAACGGCCAGGTTCTGGTCCTCATTATGTGTGATGGCTCTTCCTTTCTTTCACCACTTTTCTATTGAGATGTCCTTGAACTTGCATAGTTTTTGTCACACAGGATTGGCCCCTACCTCCAAAACAGTCTAGCTTTGAGGTACAGCTAATGTCATGTTGCAGGATTAGGTTTTATGTATGTACTCAACATACAGGGGGATAGATGGGAAAAGAGGAGACATGGGAACTGGAGGAGGTTCTTAGGAAATGAAGGGCTCGGGGAGGCTTTGCTTTGCAGGGGAGAACAGGCTTGGTATTGACCTTGAATGAAGCAGATTTTGATAGTGGTCAGTGATGGAGGATAGAGGGAAATAGGTGTGTATAAAGAAGATGGAAGGCACAAAATATTTTTTTCGGGGGCCAATACAGAATCAAGACACATTGAAATCCTCTGTGTTGGAGTTAGGGAAAAAGATTGGAGACATTATGGGGTGTCTTGACAAAGTAGGCCGGTAAAGAACTGATGCATTCCAAAAGTGTAATAAAATTGATTTCTTGCTCATTTCACAGTTCATTGCAAGGATTTAGGGGTAGACTTTCCAAGGATGACCCAAGGAACCAGGCTCTTTCTCCATTCCATTCAGCTGGCTATCCATCCAGTAGAGAGTAAAAATGAGAGCACGGAGGAATTTTTACTGGTCAAGCCTATAAATGTGTTGTATCATTTCTATCTTCCTCCCGTTGGTCAGAAGTCAGTCATGCGGCTACAGCTGCCTGCAAAGGGTCTGTAGTGCAGTTCCATTAAGATAAAAAGGAAGACTTTAGTGAGCACATAAACTCTTCTACATTGACTTTTAGCCTGAGTAGTTGAACTTTATCCTATATGTAGTAGTTAGTCATCCTCAGCGTTAGAGGAGGTGGGAACATGCTTACTGGTAATGAAAGGGTGATTTTTGTATGTTATATTCACAGCTACATCCCTAGCATGTGTGTGTGTGTGTGTGTGTGTGTAGAAATATATATAATGACTTTAAGCAAATATTTGGCATAATAAGAAAATGATGGATAGATGATACAAAGGAGTCCTGAATATATGGACCCTTCCAGAATGGATTAGTGGAAGAGTTGAGGCAGAGAAACCAATTAGAAAGCCATTGTGATAATCTGATAGAGACTGAGTGCTGTTACAGGAGGGATATGTTCATTTTTAGAAACAGAAGTTTACTTCTGCTACTTTAGCCCTCTTAGCTTTTAGTACAGCTACAGATTGTAGTTTAACCAGAGTCCCTGAAGAGCTGAAATCACAGAAGCAGGTTGTGAGCTGCAACTGTGTTCCTAGGAAGAGCCTGCACTTTCTTTGGAGGCATTAATTGGAATGTAGCCTGGGGACTTGGGCTGTGCCACAGAACTGCAGCCCAAATAAAATAAAACTTGACTGAACCAGCAAACTCAGAGTGGCATTCAGTTACTTTAACAGAGTCTTGGGAAATACAAACTGCTGTTGTATGTATGCAAAATTTGCTCTTTGACCTTATGGTAAGGAAAATTACTGGAGTACACATAATCTTTTGCCAGCTTTCCAAAGTGCTAGACAACTTAACTTCTTGGCAATTATGCAATATTAAAATTTTTAAAATTTTAAAATATACTTGAAAAATAGATGTTTCTCCAACAAGAACAGAGAATGTCAATGAAAAGAATGTGTTCTCTGTGTACCTTAGAGAAGCCAGTATGTGTAGTCAACCTTATGTGACCAGAGGCTTCAGGATTTTAGGAAGTTGCTTGCAGATGAATTTCTCTGAAATCAAAAGCTAAGGGCTGTTATCGTCCTCTTCTCCTTCTGGAGGTGACTTTTATGTTTCATGCATAAGCTGGGGCTTGCCCAGACTCAGGTTACCCACCTCTGATGCCTGATGACAGGCCCCTAACTTTAAGATTATGCAGGGTTGACTGAGAAATCTCAGAACAGTTTGGGATTCTTGGGAGATTTTTAAATGATTCTTGTTGATTTGAAAATAATATAAAAACAAAAAAATAGCTTTTTGTGGTATTTTTGCATGCCCTCTCTTGGGTTTGGGGAGCGTTCCAACATTAAAAAGCCAGGTTCTGGTGGCTCACACCTGTAATCCTAACTACTCAGGAGGCAGAGATCAGGAGGATTTTAGTTCAAAGCCAGCCTGTGCGAATAGTTGGAAAGACCCTATCTCAAAAAACCCCATCACAAAAATAGGGTTGGTATAGTGGTTCAAGCTATAGGCCCTGAGTTTATACCTTTAAAAAGATGTATTATATGTCCTCTTTTTTCATTCTTCCCCACCAAAAAATAACCTGTAATAATAAAGATGAGGAAAACAGGAAGGGACGCAGAAACAACGGGTGACAACAAGATGCTAGGATGGGAATGAACTGGATCCCAAAGGCCAAGGCCAGTGCCTACTATTCCTGTAGAAAATGCTGGGAAGGTGTGAGGAAATGCCTGAAGTTGGTTCTTTCCCTTGCAGGGGCCAGGGCTCCTGGAGCTTTGAGATCCTCATTTCTTCTGGCCTCTTGAGATATAAATTATGCACTCAAGCAATGAGCCCTTGAAAGCCCACTAGTTGGTTTCTGGTTCAAATACCAGAGAAGCCAGTTCACTGAAATTCCATTTGCTAGTGATCTGTTTACCAAATTTACTAATTTTCTAAAAAAAAAAATGTATTCATAGAGATCATAGCAATTTATATTTTAAGTGACAGTTTTTACATGGGCCTCGCAAGTTTGTTAGATGTGAATCAACTAGAAAGTTTTTTTTTCCTCTACTCCCCTTTTCTGAATATGCAGTTACAACTTGGTGAGGTTGGGAGAGCAGGTTTCCCTGGTAAGGAGTAACAGGGGGAGTCTACAGCTTCGCATGCCAGAGGGAGGAGAGACTAACAAGCGGAGAAAGAGGAAAGAAAGGTTGTGAGAGGTAAGGAGTCCTGGTGGACAGAAGGGTCAGGAATGAGAAGGAAGGAGTAGAGAAAATATTCAAAGGCTCCAAAACTTCTCCCATAGGCCTTGGAGGCCCTGCCAGTTATTCTGATATCAATCCTTATAACCAGTTAATGGGAACAGATTTGGTTTGCTTATTGAGTCCAGTGAACTGGTTCTTGTGAGTGTTGGTTTTCAGAGCATTCATTTTTAGCAGATTGGCCACTTCCTCTAGTTGGACCCTTATTGGGCCATCCTGAGATGTGTGGCAGAGTGAAGCCTTTCTGGAAGAAGATGTCTACAAGAACTGCAGAAAGATGAGAGTTTAGAAAGAGGGGGAAAAGTCTCATTAAATCTCAAAGGCGTCCTTTGCTGGCTTAGGGGACGGGTGTAAGAGAAGCAGTAACTACTAGGGGGTGGGGCACACTACCAGATTTGCACGAAATTTTCCTGGTTTTAGTGCTGGAAGTCTCAAATCCTAGGCAAACTGCGGTGGTTGGTTACTGTAGAACTTCTCCAAAGCTAGTCTTGAGAAGGGAAAAGATAAAGAAAGGTGGTGGCTGGCGGAGGAGGTGATACCCTCTGTAAACATCTCCTGGGAGACAGTCTTTTTGTAGCTTTAATTCATAGCACCTCAGGGAAGATGAAAGGAGGCTTGGGAGGAATTACATGGACCTGCACACACTCACAAGAGACCTAATACTAAGCAAGGGTCTTAGGTTTTTTCCCCCTGGTATCTTGCTTATGTAATCTATATGCACTGACTTTTCTAAACGTGCTTTTTTCTTTCTTTCTCTTTTCTTAGGGAGGCAGGACACAGTGCGTGAGAGAAGTCTGCCCCATTCTCTCTTGTCCCCAGCACCTTAGTCATACACCCCCAGGACAGTGCTGCCCCAAATGTCTGGGTGAGTGACTATTTTCAGGTCAAAGAACAATGTAATTTCTTCCAGAGCTTCTGCTGAGAGCATTTCTGCACACTGCTACCTTGGGGTTCTCAGGTTGTCTGACTCAGTGGCTTGTTAGAGACAACTGCTCTTTCTAATCCTTCGAGCAGAAAGTGTGAACAGGCTGTGGCTTTCCTGTGAGGTCTCCATAGAGGCTCCTCTCTTGTCTTTCTTTGTATCTGGAACCTGGCACACCAGATGACCTGGGAAATGCCCCTGAGAGGGGAGATCAGTATTGAAGAAACTGTCTTTAACCAGGCCTGTGACTGTTAGTAGGAGCGTATGTTAAAGGCGTTTGAAACAAATGAATGGAAGAATGTAGACTAGTGTTACCTGTAGAGGCAAAAGCACTCAGGAGGAGAACATGACAGATTTGGAAGGAATACAGAGTAATAGTGGTCATGGGGTACTCCCGATACCTTACATGCTTTTTCTTATTTAATCCTCTCAAGATGCTGGGAAATATTGTTCCTATAATGAGAACGTCTACCTGTCAAGAAGGTGCTGTTTCCAGTTTGATTGTTCTGAGAAGGGCTGTTCCCCTAAACCTCCAGCGGTCCACGGCTAATATTAACCCTCTGTACTTCCGGCTTTGGGTTCTGCTCCTGCTGTTTCTCTTGATCTGTGTTTTGTTCTATTTTTTTAAAACATCATTTTGTCCTACTGGAGACACTCCCCCTCCCTGCCTTTTCACATCCCATGGTGCCATTGAGTCAAGGTTTGTGTAGATTTCATGGACGGTTTTCAGCCAGTGAGGGTGATTATTTTACAGAGAAGAATGATCAACACCAGAAAGTGGGAGTACCAAGCCCCCTTGTTCTTGAAAGGTCTTAATTATCTCTTCTATTTGGGTTCCACCTTCCTGTCAGTTACTCCCCACAACCTTTCCTGGAGTCTTCGTACTGTCATAGTTTGCTTTCTCTCATTCCAAAGCATTTGATTGATTTATTTTTCGCTTTTACAGACTACCACAGCCAAACTGTGAAGTCTAGATTCTTTTTTGTAACCAAATGGGCAAATAAATGTGTTTTGTTAAACCGAGACAGTTTTCTCCTTTTTGAGGTATTCTACTGTTGTTTCATTTAGCAGTGCTCGCCTTCCTATTATGTACATGCACAAACACGCTTTTCAAGTAAATGTGGAATAATTAGAAGAGCAAAACAGAATTGTTCAGACATACCCGATTAAAGACATTTCCATACACATATGTGCTTCCTGATACATGTGTATTTGCTCCCCTGAAATGAAATCAACTAGTTCAGTATGGTAGAAATCACTGTGCTGTGGGTCATGGTGAAAGCAGTGTTCATCTAAGCAGGAAAGCTGTCACAGAGGAAGTGGTGTCTGGACATGGCCCCACAGATAAGTAGGCTTGATTAATGCTTTGAAGCTGATGCCCTGGACATGGATTCAACTTGGAAGTTTCCCACATGAGCAATGACTGTTGTATTGAATGCAGGTTTTACTGACCATTTGTGGTTTTAAGATGGACTACAAAAGGAACAGTAAGTTTTTGGAAACTTGAAAATCATATTTCACCCAAATGAGACCTTTTTTGGTTGGGTTAAACCTCAGTGGAATAAGGTGCAAATGGCATAAATCAGGCTGTCCAGAGTCTCTGCAGCACTCCCTTGAACGTTGTATCTTTTGTTGGGCCATGGTGGTGACTTTGGGGTTAAGGTAAGATTTTGTGATGAAAAGAAACATACTCAGACAACAAAAGACAGAAAGGAAAACAAAAGCAAACACCAGCATGCTTTCTACATGCTGAAATCTTAGTCTAATTAGATTTTTGACTGATTGTGTACTGATTTGCTTTTCAATTTTCCCTTGACTAAGATTGCTCCATATGACACTCCTCTGCATTGCAACATTCCTTTCCTTGATTTTCTCAGTTTCAATTAAGACTTTCATCAAGCATCAGTGTACCTAGAGCAGCACCCAGCATGCTGCTTTGTGTGACATAGCTTAGTAACACTTGTTTTTGTTTTCTATAAATTTTTATTAATTTTTTTTTGTATGGGGGGATTCATTGTGACAAATTCAAATAGTGTATTGTACATTGATTAGATCACTCCCACTGTCTCTCCCCCTCAACCCCTTCCCTGCCCCACTTAAAGTAATTGCAAGAGGCTTCTTTGTTCTATTTCATATAAATACTTGAAGTCCATCTACCATATAACCTCACCTTAATCTCCTTCATTCACCCTCCTCCCTCCCACAAGTACCCCTCCCCATACTGAACCTATTTAACAGTCCTGTCTTGTTATTAATATTTAAGTCGATGTTCAAAGGGGTTTCTCAGTGTATCTCCACTGAGGATGTACTTTGCTTTGGTCTGTTCAACCCTTTTCATTGCTGTCCTTTACCTTTTTACCTCCTAACCTCCACTTTACAACAGCTTTCAATACATGTTCAGAGTCGCATTTGAATGATAATCACCTCTAATAATGATAATTGTTATTACCTGTCATTTATAGTGGCAGTCACTATGCTAATAGCTTTATAGTCATAATTTTAGTGAGGAATAGTTTAAGCCATTGGCACAGTTGTTTGTGGAGATAAAAAATATCAAAGTATCTATTTGTTCATCAACCAACTGGTAGATCAATTGATAGATTGATCCATTGTCCATCTATCCATTCATCCAGCCATCTATCCACTTACGCAATAATACTAAGTACAGTAATGATAGTATAAATAACAGACTGTGGGAAGAAGAGCCATACATTTTGAGAGGTGAAACAACCTTCTGAGGAAGAAATGAAAAAGAGGTATTTTGATTACTAGAGAAGAAAACTTTTACAAAGAACTCCATATCCATTTATTTGTCTTTTGCCTTTTGCCAAAAAAGATTCAAGTTCATCCATAAAATACCCAAATCACATGAAAATAAAATACAGAAAAAGACAACCAGGTCACAATTCAAAAACCTACTTAACTGAAGCAGAGTTACTTTTACTGCTTAAAGGACAGAAATATGTCACTGATAGATTGATAGAAAGAGAATAATGTTTACATTAGTGAAAAATGACTTCACTATCATTTTTATAGTAAATACAAAAATATACCCAGGTATTTTTTTAAATACCTTAATGTCTTAAAACTAAGGTATGCTTTGGCAGAATTGATTCTTTTGAGACAGGCCAAATCCATGTGATTTGGGCTTCGCACAACTTTCTAGCACTTCATAATAACCTTAGGGGGATATTTAGGGAAAGGGTGAATTTTATATTTTACAGGCAATCCTCTAATTTAGTCTGTAAATTCTCATGAAGCTGAGAAGTCTCAGAACTTGGGTGTACACATAAGAATATGTGTGTTAGTTGGGATAGTAACAATCATTATGCTAAATTTTGTCTAACTGTGAAATAGTTTTTGGTTGTACACTTTAGTATTTACACCATCGATAGTGGTTGTGATATGGTAATATGGCATGATAACATTTTTGGTACCATTGTATGAGTGAAGTGAGAGTGGCCCAGATAAATCATATCATGGTTCTCAGGGAGTCCATATATGGAGACCGAAGACTGACATCTCTTGAAGACCAACGTGTTTGTTCCTCATGGTGAGGTTGACTCTGACAAGATAACGTTTCTTCTTGAGTCCAACTAACGGTATTTTCAACAACTCTAATTGTGAGAACAATCCTTAGTACATGTTCATAGGTATTTTGAGCATTTCATTGGGCCTATTGATACACAGATGAATACATCTTTTTTTTTTCAAGAAGAAAGAGAGGATGTAAATTTGATTAGTAAACATGAATCACTGGTTTAACGTAATCCTTAATTAAAATAACATTTCAGAGATGGTTTGATGTGCTTCAAATGTTGAAAGAAAGGAGGAAATTGGATGTTAGTCATGGTTTGGCATTACATTTTTGACCCATTTGGTTACCGATCCAAACTTCCCATGAGGAGCGAGAAACCAAGCTAATTCTAAAGAGACAATATGCTATAAAGGTTGCACATATGGCGTGTGGAGTTGAGTTCTGCCCCTGTGGATCCTTTGAGTTAACTTCATTCTTTGTGAATTTTTTTGTTTTAAATTGAGATTCTGTGTTAATCTGGTCAGGCTGCTATAATAAATACCTTCATTTGGGTAGCCTTTACACAACAAAAATATATTTTGTATTTCTCATAGTTCTGGAGGCTGGGGAGTCTAAGATCAAAGCATTTGGTGCAGACCCACTTTCTAGCTCATAATTGTGCCTGCTTGCTGTGTCCTTACATGGCAGAAGGGGCAGGGTGGGTGAGGTGTCTCTCTTGGGCTTCTTTTTCTAAAGGCACTAATCCCATTTGTGAATGGTACCCTTATGACCTAATCACCTCTCAAAGGCCCCACCTCCTTTGATGTTTAGGTTTCAATGTATGTTTGTAGGAACACAAATGTTTAGAACATAGCAGATGACATTTCATTAGTTCTTTTTTGTTAATTATGTCCTTGACATACCTTGATTTTTTTCTGCTTCTACCTACCCTCCGGTTACTACTTACTTTTGAGACTAATGTTACTTGTTCTTTAATACAAATCTCAAGCACTGCATCATCCAAGAAGTCTTCTATGACCTCTCTGTCCCCATAATTCCCAGGCTGGCTTCTTTCCAGAACTTACTGTGTTGTTGAATTGCAATAGTCTTTTGTGGGGTTTTTTTCCCAATAGACTGTGAGCCTCATGAGGGCAGCTTATGTCTTAAGACATCTTGGTTCACTGCGGTGGACATGTAATAATGATTCATTGAAATTATTTAGTCAAACTGTCTTACATGGTGGCTCTTTAAATGGATTATTCTTGGGCACATCTGATCCAGGGCTCTATTAGTGGGTCTTGTGAAAATGTTTAACAGTCCTGTGATGACAAAATGGGGTATCCCTGGCTTCTGTCTTGCTTACATTGTGCTGTTGTTTTCATGCAGGTCAGAGGAAAGTGTTTGACCTTCCTTTTGGCAGCTGCCTGTTTCGCAGTGATGTTTACGACAATGGATCCTCGTTCCTATATGATAACTGCACAGCATGCATCTGCAGGGTAAGGCAGCTCTCAAGGGCAGTGCCACACCAATGGTAGGGCTTTGGGTTATAGTGATTGTAGTGATGGTGTTTTATTTACCAGGGAAAGGTATTGTTGATGGATAGGACCCATATTATAACTCACTGCTTGGGGACCACAAGTTAGCTCTCGTTGGTGAGAGCCATACTCTAAGGGGCTGTCGTGAGGATTGTCTAAAGTCAGACAAATCCACATGACTGTGTTCTCTGGCTCTAGTTATCCAAGGCAAACTCTGTAAGACACATGGCAGTGAAAATGGCTATAACCATGTTCAAGAGAAGAAAAAGGCATGGGTTACAGCTCCTCACAAAGACAAACCTGGCAACTCAAAAAGAGAATATTTATGTGTTGTTCATTGTACCGAGTCTTACTTGCTGTGCTGTTCACTTTTCTCAAAGACAACTGGAAGCCTAATTCCTGGTAAAAGAAAAATTCAGCAGCTTCAGAATTTCAAAGAGACACACATCACACATTCACTCACTGTGCTTATGCAGTGAGTTATATCTGAAACCAAGAAGAGGAGCATTTATTATGGAGGCCTTAGAATCACTTATTACTGAGTTAACCCAGACATCTGTGTGACATGAATTTAGAATAATTTATTTTGGTGGTGATGGGTGGTTGTTTTGTTTCTAATAGCTAAAGGGCTAGAGAAGGAGAGAGAGGAGGTATGCTTAGTGTCAGTATGAGTCAGTAGCTAGGATTAGAGTTCAGAAGTTCTTGATTACTTGATTACTTGATCACATGCTCCACTTCAGGGCATGACTGTCCAAGGATTGCACTGTCTGGTCCAGGCACTGATCATTGAGAAATTCCCAAGCCTGAGAATACTTCCCTGAGATACCTTCCTCCTTCTCTAGTTTGCAATACCTGTGCCAAACACATAGCGACCCTCCTTTGTTGGACTTGGCTTCCATCCCTAGGTCTTGTCTTCCTCACTTGAACTTCACAGACTCCAGCTTCTTTTTGGGACAACAAGCCTCTGCTAAAACACATCACATTCCCCCCTCTTGATCTCAGAATAGTTGGTTGCCTTATGAATGGGAGTAAGTTATATCACAGCACTTTAGGTCTCAAGGATTCTGTGAGAGATGATTAGGCAATATATTCCAGTGCTTAAGAAGAACTATAATTAATACTTCTCCTGCAAGAGCCTGGTTTATCAGAGTGCAAATTCACAACCATCTTTGGGAGAGTGGATGCTTGAAGAATCAGGCTGCAATCATTTAGGTAATCAGTATTTTCTGTCTGCTTAGCACGTCCCTCTCCAGAATCCCCATCGGTGTTCTTCTGATTTCCAGGGCATGTGCAGGAAACCATGTAACAGTTCTGCGAACACAGTGTGGTTTCAGATCTGTGCCTTCAAATCTGATGTTTTCTCTGCCTCTGGTGTCTTCACCTTCTTTAGATTTTGTTAGCAAATTTCTCTTTACCCTCAACCACCAATCTCAGATTTCACCTCCTGTAGAGACACTTTCCCTACCTACCTAGATCAGTAGTCATTCATCCCCTCTTCTCTGCTACTTTTCACTTTACTAGTTCTGTTTAACACATTTTGTTGCAATTTTTTTTTTGTTTACAAGGGTACCTTTCCTCCCTCCCCCTTGAGGACATGAGTACATCATTCATCTCTTTATTCTCATTGCCTGACCCAATGCTAGGCACACAGTCCATGGAGAGAGAGAGAGGATAGAGAGAGAGAGAGAAAGAAACCAGGGAGATCTACAGTGAAGTATGCATTATTTGAGAGCTAGTGAGTGCTCTATTGCTCAAAGTAGAACTCAAGAGGTGGAGTTTGATAAATGATAGATGTTTTTCCCAACTTATGAGTTGGTTTATAATAATTTCTATGTGCCATATACTTTACATTTAAATGCACAGTAAAACTGAGAAATAATAGAGTAGCACTACTTTAGAAATCAAACCAACCTTCCTTCCTTCCTTCCTTCCTTTCCTCTTCCTCTTTTCCTCCCTTCCTCCCTTCTTTTCTTCTTCCCTCTCTCTCTTTCTTTCTTTCTTGGCAGCACTGAGACTTGAATTCAGATTTTCTCACTTGCCATGTAGGTGCTCTGCCATTTGAGTCATCCCTTCCATCCTTTTTACTCCTGTTATTTTGGAGATAGGATATTTTTTTGCCCAGGCTGGTCTAGACCACGATCCTCCTATTTTATATACTTGCCATCACCCAGCTTTTTTCCATCAAGATGGAGTCTTGCAAGCTTTTTTTGCCCAGGCTGGCCTGGAACCACGGTCCTCCTATTCTCACCCACCCACGTAGCTTGGGATGACAGGTGCATGCCACTGCACCCACATATTGGTTGAGATAGAGTCTCACAAACTTTTTCTGCCCAGACAGGCCTTAAACAGAAACCATCCTACCAATCTCAGCCTCCCAAGTAGCTAGGACTACAGAGTGAGGTATGGGCACCCAGCTCAAGCCACACTCCATTGAATTATAGATATAAACTTGCCATTTTCAGACATTAAATGGCCTAGTCAGGGTCACATCTTTTATGGGAGAGCTCTATAATCCAGGTCCAGTTTTGGAATAGTTCATTTAGTTCCTTTGTGAATTCAGAACACACTTATACAATTTCATCTTGAGGTGGTGGTACATTAGCTCTTAATCTTCACTTTGATAAAGTGTCTGCCTTTAGGCTAAACTCCAAAAGGTGGCATAAAGCTGAAGAGGTAACTCAAGAGACCTCTGGTAAGTGGAATGTGAAAGAGGAAAAGAGCAGGAAGAAGGAAATGGGCTGGCCCATAGTGAGCTGGGCTTTCTTGCCATACTCTGGCCAGAGTAGATGAGTGACTTTTTAGTGTAGTTATAAAGCATTGACAGCAACCTTCCAGTGTGCTGTACTCTCCATTAACACCCTCATATTCACATTTTGAAGTGAATGAAAAGTTTTTAGCAACACCTTAAAGTGTGACATCTAGAGAATACATTTTATAGCAGTTAGTTGTAGGTTATTAATGGCTGGCCAGGTAGGATGTTTGGTAGAGGTAAGAGTCACTTTTAATTTCCAGTTTGCCTTTGGGCCCCTAGGACTCAACTGTGGTGTGTAAGAAGAAGTGTTCCCATCCTGGTGGCTGTGACAGAGGCGAAGGGGCCTGTTGTGAAGAGTGCCTCCTCCAAGTGCCCCCAGAAGACATCAAAGTTTGCAAGTTTGGAAACAAGATTTTCCGGGTATGTCACGAGCCAAGTTCATGGGCACCACTGCACAATAATGACAATTGATAAGCTGAAGACATAATGCAGATTGGATTATTCCATAACCTGTATATCCATCTGCATACATGTGTGCATATAATGTACTCATTTCTATTACAGTGTCATATATACTCCTATATTTAGATTCTAGGGCAAATAAGAGCGGAAAAGCCACTGTCTGGAAAATTTTTTTTTCCTTGACTTCATTTTTTACAGAATATTTAAAACCTGCAGAGCATTATTGCCCTTTCTGAATGTGCTCAGCCAGTGACTGGGACTGAGCTGTATGTGGCCCTGGGATGGCGTGGTTGTGGCTACCCATATGTCCAGAAGCACCTCATTTAGTTGGAGATGCCCTCTTTAAGATAATGACTCCTGTCTAGATCTGAATGCATCCAAAGCCTGCTCCTTTTCAAAGAGAATTTTTCTAATTTGGAAGACATTCAGGTCGGCGTGTTTTAGTATATGTGGCTAGCACAGTACTGAACAAAGGGGGAGAGAGTCCTGCCGCAGGAGAACTCAAAGGGTGTTTGTTGAAAATCTCATACCCCTCAGGTGTGTTCACATTATTTTCTGATGATCCCAAGTGGGAAGTTGTGCAATGACCTTTTTGTTTTGTTTGGGTGGGACTGGGGTTTGAACTCGGCTTTGTGCTTGCAAAGCCAGTGTTCTATCTTTTAAGCCACACTTCCAGTCCATTTTGTTCTGGCTATTTTTGGAGATGGAGTCTTGCAAACTATTTGCGTAGGCTGGCCATGAACCTTAATCCTCTCAATCTCAGTCTCCCAAGTAGCTAGGATTATAGGCGTGAGTCACTGGAGTCCAGCTTGCAATGACCTTTGAAATTTTGGGCTGCAGGTTGTTGGATTTGTTCACAGTGCTTCCCATCTTGCATGTTTCCTCAACATGGAGGGAATTACTGTACCCAAAGATACGTCTTCCTGATTTCTGTGAGAGTTGAGGCCCTCAGCATCACGTTAGATGCGGAGGCTCCTTCAGACTCCCCCTTACACTGATGTGGTTGGAGACAGAGGTCTTGGTTCTCAGGGAATCTGTAAGAAGATGTGATATGTCATGCCCAACAAAGGGTTGGTGTTGATTATATTCACATCAGGCTTTCAGAATCACTCACTGTCCTGTTTACATAAAGTCACTCTTTATGTAAAGAGCACCAACATGAAGTAGACCCCTCTCATATTGGTGTTTTGTGCAAAGCACCTTCAAGCCCCTTTGTGAAAAGGTTTGTTTAAATGTCTGGGATCTGAAATTTTTTCAGAGACACTGTGTCCTGGAAATGTGGGCTCAGAGGATTAGAAACAATCAGGTGCCTTTAAGACAGATTCATTCAGGCCATTCTCACCTGAAAGGCACCAGAGGGCAGGCAGTCCTTAAGCTAGCTCCGAAAAATGAGGAAGAGGATGAGGAGGAAGATTCATCAATCAGGGCCCAGGAAGGAACCCTGATTTTGTTATTAGGTCCAATTTGGTGGTTTGTGATTTTTTTTTTTTAACCTACAAGCATGGATGTACATCTCTACCTGTACTATTCTGCTCAGCACGAGACAGATTATAACTCCAATGAGCCCAAGAAATTCAAATAGCTCTCTATCTGAGCAAGGGTCTAGTCTAGAAAACGTGTCCGTAAGTACTACCATGTTTTTTGGGGGGGAGAGATGGCAAGCCAGTCAGGAAAAGCTCTTCATGGCTCGTGGAGTCTTCTGTCTGGGCTCTGTGTCTTCAGATGTCTTCTGACTAAGTGTTTACCTAAGGAATGGGAGTCATTTGAATTAGTCTCAGTTCTTTTCATGTCTAGTGTAGTACAGAACCAGGGCACATCTGGGAATAAACAAGCCACCTCCGGACATCTCAGTTAACTGCTTGTACCTGAGATAACTTAAAACATTTCAGAGGAAAATTAAATTTTTGTTAATGCGTCATATGTGAAATATTCTTACCTAGTTGTCTCGCAGAGTGAAAACAAACAGCTCAGGGGGAGTGTGATGCAAATATGACTTGGTTAGACACACCAGAATTCTTTTTTATATCCTGGAGGAAGAAAACACACCCACACACCTGGAAATCCACACCTTCCCCCATCTTTATGTTAAACTGATTAAACCCAGATAAACACTTCTGAGTCATTTAGTGTGAGGCTGGAGCCCCTGACTTAGGCTAAGGCATGCTGTCCTCAATGGAGACATCACAGCCCATTGGCTCAGTTACTGCAGCTTTGAACTGATAGAAGAATCTGGTGCTGTGTCCTGCAGGATGGAGAGATGTGGTCCTCTGTCAACTGCACCATCTGTGCTTGTGTGAAAGGCAAGACAGAGTGTCGCAAGAAGCAGTGTGTTCCCATCAGCAGCTGCCCGCAGGTATGTTTAGAATATAGGTTGACTTTCTCTTTACCTAGTGTCTTGGGAAATGTCTTGTGTGTAGTGTGGTTTCGTGCCATCTCCCAAAACTTTCAGTCCCAAATAGACAAATGTTCCTTGTGAAATTTGTTTCTGCTTCTTCTTCTCTTTTTCTTCTTCTTTTTTTTTTTTTTGCAGACCCCACTCAGTCTAGCCTTGTGTAAAATGCCTTTTATTTAGCTCTTGTTCCAACTCTCCTATTTCTTGTTGACTTTGTTTTTTTTTTTTTGTGTGGTTCTGGAGTTCAAACTCAGGGCTTCATGCTTGCTAGGCAAACCTTCAGGCCTTTTTTGCTTTAGTTATTTTTCAGATGGAGTCTCACATTTTTACCTGGGACTGGCTTTGAACTATGATTCTCCTACCTATGCCTCCCACGTAACTGGGATTTGCATGTTCACACCTGCAAATGAGATGGGGGTCTCACTATCTCTTTGTCTGGGCTAGCACTGAACTACGATGCTCTCAATCTGTTTCCCCAGTAGCTGGGATTGCAGGCATAAGCCACTGCACCTGGCCTCCAATTCTTTTAAAAAACATCTCCAATTCTACTTGCCTAGATCTGTTCCCTTGTTTTCTGTTTAACATCATAACCATCTTTCGCCTTTTTCTCCCTTCTCTCCCTTCTCAAATCACAGCTTTCTTCTCAAAGCCAAAGTAATATGTGGTTGTTTATTAATGAACTTCCCAAGGGGTTTCTCCTGCTTAGCAGCTGCCCCAACCACTTTGCTAAAATTTCTTTCTCACCCTGGCCTCCATCATAGCCCCAGATGGGAATAGCATCCTTATGGAAATATCTCTTTTCAAAACCCCATAGTCCATTGCGCTGAATAAAGCAACCATTATCTTCTAAAGCACAAGCTTCTTTGAATTCACCTCAGCAACTTGAAACCTTTCAAGGTTTTGTGCATTTTGGGAGAATGTCAAACCTATTCAGTATCTTCCAGTGAATGAAAAAACATATCTATATATTCAGGGCATGTCCTCTCTTCTCTGTTATAGACAGCCTTTAATTTTATTCACATCTGTTATTATTATAAACAAAAAGTTGCTGTTTTTCCTTGAGTGCCAAATGAGGCACAAAAAAACAACAGCTGTTGCCGTTACACAACTGAATAAAAGGGGGCTAGAAAAAGAAAAAAAACAAAAAACCCTAATTAGTCTTGCTTTAAAAAGCCTCAGACATAAAATTGAAAACCTTCCATAAAAGAAAGAAAAGGGGGGGAGATACAATAAGTAGATTTGAACATGGTCTGCTTATAAATATTCATTGGGAAAAATGGGATCACATCATTTATGCCAGTCCTCGGGGAGCCCTCAGTGCTAATGAACTCTTGCCGCACATGTTAGTAATAATAGCTTCCTTATTCCACAAGACAAAAACAGGATGCTGTGCCAACCTGGTGGCTCAAGTAACTCGCCTCAGCAGGCCGCTGTGGAGTTTCCAGCTTCACTTGCATTCTGTCACTTGTAGCAGGGTCGATAGTTTTCCTTGTCCTCTTGCTGGCTGCGGGAGGTTAAAGCTTTTCATGTTGCTGAGGTCTCCTTAGGGGTGCATCTTTAAGGACCACAGTGGGGCCAGGAGTATCCATCCCTGGAGGGGGGGCCTTTCCTTGTCCCCACCTCTCCACGTCTCCTTGACTCTGGTTAGAGTCCTGAACTGCTCCCCTGTAGACACCACCTTTCTGTTCCTAGGCACCTTTCCAGCCCATTTCCACCTTCCCTTCTCAGACGCCAGCACGAGGTCTTTGGAAAACAGCTTTGCTGTACCATGGCAGTCTTTGCAAACGCTTACTTCTGCTTCCTTACATTGTACATCGCTGGGGTGGGGGAGGGGAGGGAGAGTCATTCTGTTTCCCTGCTCCATCCTTGCTGGCTACCACACACGTCTTTCTCCAGAGGTACATGCGTCTTGTTGAGGACACATGTATCGTTTTATGGTTGCCTCCATGATAACTCCCCAGGGGCAAAGGAGTGTTATTTGTGAGAGGGGCCATGAGACTTCCAGTGGGGACCCGGTTGGATGGTTACAACACTGTCACCTCAGTGTCACCAATAGCTATGGAGACTTTCTCTGTGGCCCCAGGACCGGTGTAGGCTCTAGGACAAGACTAGATTCTTCTTACAGATGAGGCCACACAGTATATCCAGAGCTTCACAGCTAATTACAGGCTTTGTGACTTAACAGCTTGTGTCTATTTTTTTTCTCACCTATTTTAGTTTTAGGACCAGCACCACTTTTATTTTCTGGAGGTGGAGATGTCAGTTTCTGCCTAGATGCAGAGGTAGGAAATTGAGTCCCATTTGGTTAGAGTTGACTTTAAACAGCTCTGCTGCATCAGTATACAAATCCTTACTCCATCTTCTGGGGGGGACATCATTCCGAGGGCCTGAACTGACCTCATTTGCTTTATGCTCAGCTGTTTTTAGTTATGAGAAATTAGAGGATACCCCTATGCCATACAGAAATAGATAGCAGAGTTCTAGACAGTGAGAATATATCATGGTGCCCTCATCCCAATGGGACTAAGTTTGAAGTCTCACTCAAACCCTTTAATGTACAGTTTTAGGCCTAGTTGATGCAAAAAAAAAATGGGACATGGTTCTAGTTCTACAATAACTAACTAGCATTGTTAAAGTCAATACACTTATTTGTTTTTAAAATACTTAAAGCAGCTGTCCAGTAGTGAGTGAGCAGTATATGAGCTATGTGTCTTTTGTAACAGGTTTTGGGCAATCTCTCTGTGGCCTGTTTCTTTTTTTTTCCTTTGGTATGTGTGGGGGTGGAACTAGGGTTTGAATTTAGGGCCTTGCATTTGCTAGGCATGTGCTCTATCACTTGAACTGTGCCCCCAGCCCTTTTTTACATAGGGTCAAGTCTTGGACTTTGGTCCTCCTACTTCTACTTCTCACATCACTGGGATTAGGTGTGCATGACCACACCCAGGCTGACCTCTGTTTCTTTCGTTCCCTAAAATTGGGAACAAGATCCCTACATTTGGAATGTCGTTGTGATGTTCAAATGGAATAAAGTGTAAGGAGTACACAGCACTCTGTCCACTGTATAGCACATACTCAGTAAATGAGTAGGTACTGTGCAGATATCTCTTAAAGGAGTGCAGAAGTTAAAAAATCTGCAGTGGAAAGAATAAGGTGACACAGAACTGGGTTTAATTTTGGGTTCTACCATCCATGTGTTGCATGACATCACTTTCTTCGCCTATGCAAAGGGAAGGGACTCAGCTCATAAAGTTTTTGAGCTTCTTTTAAAAAAATTTTAAAAATTGATTTATCATAACTTAGTAATATGTGGGATTCTCATTGTGATAATCCTATGCACGTATATAGTGTACCTTGAATAGTTCACCCCCTCCTTTATATTCCCATTCTCTCCCTCCCTCTTCCCCTTTCTTTTAAACAGCATCTGGTGGCTTTCATTATGCTGTCTTCATATGAATATATGCAGCATAGTCCATCCTCAATGTCCTTTCCTTCCCCCTCCCCATCTTAATAATGACTATATTAACTGCAATAGTCTTTAGACCTTAAAGTGTTATGAGTATTACCTTATGAAATCTTCATAACTTATAACCTGAAGTTAGGTAAAATATCTAGTGGGAACTTTGTTACATAGCAAGCGTTCCCTAAGTGTTAATCTTCTTCATATTTGTTTCTCTGTGATTAGCCACTGAGTCAGCGATAAGATAAGACCATTCTGTGATACCAGTCCTGAGAATATCCTTCCTCTTGTAAATGTCATGCATTAAGCAAAATGAAAAGCTATGCGATATAGGAAACTGCACTGTATTTCCAGAAAGGTAATGGAAAATCACTCGGCCGTTCAGAACTGTCCGCTTAATTGGCTTTGACTGTGTAACAAAGGCTTACCATGGATAACACACTACTTTCTGAAAGAAGAACTCTGACTGAATTTTATCTCTAGCTCACCATATCCAGAGGGTCTGATGCCTTCTGAGCTTGGATTACAGATTATTGCTGAGCTCCTTCAACAAGCAAAAACAGAAAGAAGGCCTTGCACGGCTTGACAGGTTGGCAGGCAATTCCCATTGGTACATGTGTGTGCCTGGCCTCTAGAGGGGTTGATTTGGAAATCAGTGAAAGGGTTGGGTACAGACTATCTCCATCATTCTTCCATGTGAGAAAAATCACACCAATGAGTCCTTTAGGGCTCCTGTTTTCTAGCTCATAAAAACAGGAAAGTGTTCTGGCCTAGTTCATTTTCACTATCATCATCACCATCACCCTCTGGATATTGAGTTCAAATACAGCTTGGACTGATTTCATTGATCTATCTGGTATTAGATTACATAAAAGAAATTTGTCCTCAGCAGACTGTTTCTTTGCACTAACCTTTTTAAAAAATTATTTTTCTCCTGATTAGGGTAAAATTCTCAACAGAAAAGGATGCTGTCCGATTTGCACCGAAAGTAAGTTCATTCTTTTGAAAATATATTAATAAATATATTAATATTAATTTGGTATTTTGTGATGCAAGAAGAAAAACCATGGTGTAAGTTTTCTGCCCATTTGAATTCTGCAGGTATGGGAAGGGATCATCCAACTTCCTTTCAGTTGCTTTAAATCAATTGTGCTCTCTCACAGAAGCACAATCAAGGCAAATGTGGATATTTCCATCAGAATTTGATGTTAAGTCAGGAAGATAAATGGTCTGCTGAGTTTTTACAGAAGACCAGATAACACGATGCACATTTTAAACTGCTAATAGTATTTGCAGTCGTAGTGGCTGAGATAACAATATTCAGTAAAAGCAAACAACTATGTCTAGGAGGGTTTTCCTTTCTTATTATACAGCAAACAGCTGTACTTCCAACATCCTCACCTCTTCATCATTTCATCTGAGCACCCCGAAAGTGGCTGTTGGCAGAGAGCACAAGTGGTCTTTGGGCTGATGGTGGGGTTGTCTTCTGTTATTTTTAACTGAGTTCTTGAGGGTTCTTTCTAAACATGGCCTGGTCTGAGAACCAGGGGGACTGTCCTGCTGACCTCAGGGACAGACCATAGCAACAGGGTTCACATAGTCCCGCCTGTGGACTTATGCCCACGTCCATTAGCAAATTGCCACTTTAGTCCTCAAATTCATGTGGCTTTGAGATAGCTTTTTGAAGCATGTCATTGAAAGAGAGGTATTAGTGATGCGTCATCAGATTAGTTCTGATGTGTGATAAGCAGGATTAGAAAAGCCAGGAAATCTCTTAGAAAGTATTCTGCGAGCCAGCCAGGCTTAGAGAAGCAGGCAGACTCTCAGGGCAACCGGACCCAGCTTTCCCATGGGAACATGTTTTTTTCTTCCATTTATCTAAAATCAGAGCTTATATTGCTCAATGTAATCCTGTTTTTTGGTCTTTGATTAGTTAGTACTCTTTGACAATAGATATGTAGGGTAATTATGTATGTATACATATATCTATATATGAAACTATAATCTGTATATATTTCTATCATGTATTATATATCTACTATGTATTATTTTTAGAGACAGCTGTGAAACAATTACTCACTGAATAAATATACTGCTTGAAATTAACAAAAAGTAAATTATAGATTTAATAAAAGAGCTGTCCTTTGAAGATAATGAAATATATAAAATAACTCAAAGGCCAGTGAAGTATGACTTCATAGAATTCAGGAATTAGTGCAGGAAGAAGAATTTGCTATGATTAACACACCAGGTGATTTAAAAGCATGTGTATAAACGATCACCTTTAATCATCCTCCCAGAGACCTTCTGAGGAAACTTTGTTCACAGCTGGTTTAGAGGTTGCCTCCAGCTTCCTTCCTGTCTGGTTGAGCAGAGAGGAGTCTATACTGGAAGTTTTCCTCTGTAACCATGTCAGTGAGGTGTTTGCATTTCTATAAAGTGCCCCCTAGTTGAAGCAGGGACAGACCTCGTAGGAGCTCCTAATACTCTCTAGTTCACCCTTCAGTTTGCATGAGTACAGCTAAAACCTGCCAGTCACATTGTTGTCAGGTAGGGTCCGAACTTAATCAGCATCATAAAAGCACATGACCACCCTTGGACACAAGTAGCCCAAATCTTTAGTTACCTGACTCTTATGTTCTAAGAGTCAAAAAGGAGATTATTGAGACAGTTGAGAGTAATGCTAGAGTTCTTTATTAGTTTACTCATTATGAGATGGCCTTTCTATATCTAGAAGATGGATCATCTCTCAGGAAAAAAAAAAAAGAAAAAAAAAGAGGAGATTGAAGGATGGGTATAATACAATAGAAACAAGTTTGTCTCTAGTCATATTATACACTGGGTTGTGGGAGACATGTGCCTGAGCCCATCCCTTCCATCACCCAGAGGGACAACTGGCAAGGAAGAGAGCCACCCAGCTGGAGGGGCACTGGGAGGCCACTGGCTGCACCTGCATCTAGCAGGTCAGAGCTGGAAGTGCCCTGGCATGTGGCTCTCTGTCCAAGTCCACATTATATCACCAGATGGCTATTTCCCAACCTCCCCCAGTGTTCTTTCCATCTACTTACCCTCTTGCTCTCCAGCAGTTCTTCCATCATTGCTGTAAAACACATTCTACTTGGCGAGGCTCATTGGTTCAGACTCAGCGAAGAGATGGGATGGCTTCCAAGTTTTTAAGCAATGCCCAGCTTTTGCTAATGTATCCACATAGACTTATTCTGATGTCCTGTAGCTATGGCCTCAAGACCTCCTACTTGGAAATTCCTTTGTCATTATATCCAGCATCTGGAATAAGCCTCTAGGCTCATTCTTTCCTCCTCTTTCAATTACAAAAGCTCTTCTGATGTTTGGGTTTCTAGAGTAGAGACACCAAGGTCTACACTACAAACTAAGGCTAGTGTTTCCTAAAACCAGAAAAATGACTTATATTTTATTAAAACACAAATTCATACATACACTCCTTTAAGTTACTCTAAGGTTTTCAACCTCAGTCAGTTTGCCAGACAATTCTTTGTGGTGGGGCTGTCCTGTGCATTGAAGGATATTTAGTAATATTCTTGGGCTCTACCCATTAAATGCCAGTAGCAATCTCTTCCCCAAGATTGGAACAACCAGAAATGGCTCATTTCTCCCAGTGGGAACCACAGGCACTCCAAGTAGGGGGAACAGCCAGGATAAATGTGGAAATTAACAATCATGGGACCAGCAGCAATGGCTTGCTCTCTGTGCCTGCTGAGTGGATATAGTAGAAGACAGAAGTGAGCTTGTCCATCTGCTAACATGAAAAACAAAAGACCAGAAGCTTCCAGGTTTAATTGAATATGTTTTTGTATTTTAATTCCCTAGCCTTAAAAATGGTTATGATCTAACTTGAGTGATTCAAAGTTGCTGTCTTTGCTTTCATTGCTAAGAAGCTAGAACTAAATTTGCAGCCCACATCGAATGCCGTACAGTTTTTTGAGTAATAAACTTAACTTCTGCCTTCATTGTATATGTTCACTCTTATGTGTTTTGAATTATTCAACTTGTATGTCTGTACACTCTTTTCAGACCTTTTTTGGAAAGAAGCAAGAATACATACATAAATGAAATTGATCACAGATTTCAAATGCTGTAAGATTTATTTTGATTATCTCTAGTAGTTAAACGAATGTTACATCATTCCAGGCGGGGAAGGCATGCCTTTGTCTGTTTCTAAAACCCAAACTGTCTTTCTGACTGGGTTCCTCTTAGTCTTGGTAGTGTTTGGGGGGTGGAGGGGCTCTTTCAAAGGAAAGAGGAAACAAAATAAATGTGTAGAACACTTTTATAGGTCTTTCTTTGCAGTAGTCAGTGATAATGGTAACTTACTGTTCTTTGTGTAGGAAGTAATGAGGGAAGCACAAAACTGCTGTGCTCCCCATAGTGGGACAAGCTTGGTAGAGTTAGTCTGAAGGGACAATGTGAATTCTATCAAAACTGGGGAGAAAAGTCCGCTTAAAATCAGATCTGGAGAAAATATGAAAAACATTGCTGTCTTTTAATAACTTGGGAGATACTTGCTCCCTTTCTAACAGAAAAGAATTGAATTTGGTTTGGAAGATTTATTCAAAATAAAATATTTGAAGTGTGCTAACCAAACTTTATAAAGCTTTCAGCAAATGCTGTTTCTTGCCAAGGTATGAGGAGGCTATAGCCCCAAGCAAGTCTTGCTCTGCTTTGGCTGGACATCATGTGATCATGAGTTAGGTGCCAGAGGGCCACTGGGTTGTGGTGTGGCATTTAGTTTATGTGAAATGTTATTTTACAGTGTGTTGGCAAATGCTGTGTAAATGAAATCTCAACATACCACCCCACAGAGATGGAATCAGATAAATTCTTTGCTGGCAGAATGTCTGTTTTCAGACTTGGAAATGATACTTAGTGTCAAAGTTTACACTGATAAGAGAGGTGTATGTGTGTGGGTGTGTGTAGAGGGAGGGAGAGAGACTGAGGGATTGATTGTAGGAGAGAATTTAATCTCTTAATCGTCTAAAGAGCACAGGCAACCAAAGGCAGCACAGAAGTGGTCACCCAAACCCAGGTCACACAGCTTGCTCAAACTGTGCCTGCAGCTTCCTTGAACTCAATCTTTAGCATCCCAAACGCAAGCTCATGATTAAGGGTAGGGTAGAACACAGATGTGCATTTAATTGAAATAACGTCAACTGCACGTCCCACAAGTAACAGGAAATATCAAATTTCAGCAACTCTGGGTGCGAGGAGGCTCACAGTTGCCAGGTGACTTTGTAAACTCCCCAGTGGTTAGTTTCCAGCTGTGTGCAGCTCTGTGCGCCTGTGCCAGCTCTGAGAGGGGCCCCAAGCCTGCACCCACCGCAGTGTGGGGGTCCAATTTGCCCCAGCTAGTTTTGGCAGGTCTTACTTAAGCCCCCCCTGGGATGCCTGCAGGTATCTCCAATTAAACAGAGTAGCTATAGGAGCGGGAATAGAACAACAATTTCATTTATTCCCTTGGAAAAAAACCCATACTGAAACAGTGACCTTGGGACCAATTTCATGAGAAATCTCCACTGACAGAGGTTCCGCAAATTAGTAATTCTGTGTTTGAGCAAGATTTCTGGCCTCTGAGAGTGTAAGTGACTCCAGGTCCCTTAACCCCGAGAGTCTGTCCTTAACTCAGGAAAGCAAGGAAATTTGAGGCCAGACCTCAAGATGCTTGTAGAATAAAAACTGCTGCTGTTGACTTTAGCCCTGCCAAGAAGGTGTTAAGCTCAGTGGCCACTGAAGTTTCTTTCCTGCATCTGGAGTTGGGTTTGACATTGCTCCCAGGCTCAACTAGCAGATGGGTGGCAAAAGAAACCCCACTGTGCCACATGCAGCAGCCAGCAGCAGCCAGGAGATTCCACTCTGGGAGAAGCTGCATTGGCAGCAGTACGAGGAAATCAGGTCGTTTTCTGTTTTCGGTGCTGGTCAGCCTGAAGCTATCCCAGTACTTTAAATTTTCTTTCT